CCCCATCCTGCACTGCCCCCATCCCGCATTGCCCCCATCCCACACTGCCTCCATCCTGCACTTTCCCCATCCCTCCCTCCCTCATCCCTCATTTCCCCCATCCCGCAGTGCTCCCATCCCTCACTCCACCCCCATCCCTGCTAATTCCTCCCGTCCTGCACCTAACCTACTCTCCCTCCCCATTCCACACATCCCTTTCCCATCCCATTCTGATTCCACCAGCCCACATTCTTTTCCCCCGAACTCACACTGTTCCCCCCAGTACCTGGGTGCCAGGGGCACTCCAGGTAAAGAGATGGTTCTTCTTGCTTTGGGACAAAAGCCTGAATCATGGGTGGGAGGGCAGTGTCATGCCTAGTCCCTCTGCAGCTGCCGCTCCCCCCTCCTCTCACCGCACCAGGCACATTGTCCATCCCTGCAGTGCTGCCACCAGGCATAAAACTGACTCTGTGTGCCATGCGACCTTCACCGTACATGCGCAGCACTGCCCCACACCAGCAGGGCCTGCACAGCCTGCTGTCACACAGCTCTGTGCTCCCCACCTCGCCATGTGCCACCCCACTACCAGATGCCACATACTAGCAGTGTCCAATGCTTTACAGTCCTGTCCCTTTCCATATGGCCTGTCTTGAGATATGCCCACCCAGCCCCATCCTCATTCCAGTGCACACACCAGCTCTGTCCATTGCATATGCAGCAGTGCTTACACCAGCTTGCACACTAGTGCCCACCAGCACTACTTACACTCATACAGGAGGGTGCCAATGCCACCCTAGCTATGCTACTACCATGCAGACACCAACTGGCTGTTCTTCCACCCCCTCACGTATTGCTTCTGGTCAGTACCATTCAGTCTCAACCATCTCATGCCTAGATCTCCACTATTACAGGCAGACATCCCTCAATATTATATGTACCTCTCATATGAGTAGCCTGTTCCTGCACACAGAGCACCACTGCTATAAAGGAACACAAACTATTGCTACCATCTCCATTCACATAGTGCTTCTACATACACATAACCATCACCATATAAATGACTTGCTTATCCCTTGCTACACCTGTACACTCACAAGCTGCTTCTATACACTGACCATGCTATTTTGTACACACACCCTGATCCTAGACAAACATGATCATATAAACCAATAGTTATTCATGCTGTTATCTCTAGACAGACCCTGCTTCCTCATGCACCTCATCCATACTACCAGTTCCAAATATATATGAGCACCAGCAGATATTCCCAATACAGTATCTCTACACCCTGGAAACATACTTTACCACCTTCACATACACCTCACCTACCAGACAATTTGTCTCTTATCTTTCTACACATGCTGTCACTCGACCCATAAACTCTGTCCTTACACACTTACACATACTTACTTCATCAGTTTCCAACCACCACCACCACCTGCCTATCCTGTAATAACCAGACACATTTATTCACTAATACTCACTCCCTCATACTTACTCACTGAATTAATGCTCCCTCATCACCAAATACTCTTAATAGTGCCACAACACATACATGCATACAAAATAAATACTCAGTAATTGCTTATCCAGTCTATTGTAGCTGTATGAACACTTGCCACCACACTTGCATGGAGATCAATCTGCCTTTTCACATAAACTGTCATCTATAAGAACCACCTACTTTTGCCAGAAACAGCAGGTCCACCCCACATAATTATCACTACAATACATATGCTGCTGTATGCCCTTCACAACATCACTGTACTCAGCATCACACATGCATCTTCACTACCCACTCATTTTACCATGCATAGCTGTCACCTCCTACCATTCATGCATTTCATTATCACTGTCTGCCCACCCTCACAATTATATATATCATCACCACCCACCACTTTAATATGCAGATACACGCAGCTTACCATCAACTCACTATTACCCATCACCAGGAATTTATTCCCTCTAGCACCATGCATGGACTCATTATCAGCACAAGCAGCTATTCCAAAACATACATGTAGCCTCTGATTGTATGGTTTTCCTCATGTCATTTATCACCTACAATCAATACACAGATCATCCGCATACTATCGGCATCAGCCAGGCGTGCCAGTGTGACCAATACATCTTCTTTGATACCTTGTCATAGGCACTACCTTTAGCACATGCACGCTTTTGCATGACCCTTAAGCAAGGTGTTTCCTATCCTTCTGTGATTAACAAGCAGACTGTGAGTTTATGTATGTGTGTATATGTATATACACACAGATAGAAATTTAACGGTTTGTCAAAAAATCGTTTTAGTTGTTAGTAATTGCACATAAGTTCTATTTGGATGATACTGTTTGTGACTTCTGGTCATTCTGAGGACTTCTATTGTTTATGTTTATATATATAGGAATGAATTTACTGAGCAGCCTTTGCAAATGATCTTAACATTCTTAAAACTATTGCTGTACATGAGTGTTTTAGCTGGATGTCAGAGCACTTGAGGATGCCATACAAATTTTGCTCAAATAATTCATACCTACAGTTTGGGTTTTAGAGTTTGTATATATTCTGATGTGTCGGTATTGGAGCTTCCAGTATAAAGTGAAAAAAAAAAACACATTTGAATTATGTCATGCAAAATCTTTTCTTTCAGTATGCTATCTGACACTGTTCAAAACTCTACGATTATGTAAGTTTAGCTGGAGAATTATTTGCGTTAAAATCCATATTCTGGGGGAACATGAATCAGCCTTTAGTCACTGATATGAGCTGGAGCATAAGTAAATAACTGCAAACCCATCAACAAGAACATCTAGTTTTATTGCAGCACTTCAGTCTGTTTGAAAACCTGTAGTTCAAACATAACCCAATTTTTGTTTACTGAGCATTTGTATTAAAGGACATTTATTTATGGAGTATTGATTAAGTGGCTTCTTTTATAGGGTTATAAGTTGGCATTTAACAATAGTGTGATTATAAATGTGAACTCTTAGATTGCTCTGCAGGAACATTGGAGCAAAAAAGATTTATTTTGAAACTGATGGTGCATTAACAGTAGTGTCATCACCACTAAATCTCACTTCTTGTCTGCATTATCCTCCGTTGTATTTGCATACATGTAAGCACATATGGAGGCATTTTAGACACTTCTATCATGCTTTGGCCCAGGTTAATTAATTCCTTTGCAACGCTAGCGTTTGGCCATGCCCTGCACCCAAGAGGGTCAGTAAAAGCTTTTCTACTGAAATAGATTTGGGCGTAGTGTTCTCTCCTGCTGCAGTGATTCAAAAAAATTACCTGTAAATTACAACTCCTGCAAAGGTTCTAGTCTTAATAGACATGATATGCACAGTTGATTGACAGGTATGCCCAGGCAAAGAAAATGCTATCGTAGTCATAACTATAGTGAAGTACCCAAGTGCAGTATGTCCTACATAGAAGGCTTGGCAATTTCTGTATTTCCATTCATTGAAGTTTTCTTCAGGGATGGACAATTACATTCATCTACTAGAAAATGATACTATTTTCCAGTAAGAAGTTGTTTGAATATTTACTTCATCACTTAAGCCAATTGCCTGATTATACTCTCTATAAAAATTTACTGAGTTACTGATTTTGAGCACCAGTCAATTGCTTATTGCTTATGATTCAAAAGTGCATATTTCTAACTTGAACTACTTGATTAGAAACAACACTTGCTTAGAAACAATGTATTTATTACCCCAATAATGATATAATAGCATAATAAGCATCAATGTTGGTTCATTTGAGCCTCAAGAAGCAAAAAGAATATTTATGACAATCAAATTTCATGTAAAGAAGAAATTCTGATATAAAGCAACTCTAATTTGGGAATATGCTTAGACATTTTATTTTTATTATGTTTCTTTCCTTTACCTAAGGATTTTTCCTTTTAGGAACAGGCCAGAGGAGTTAGCTTGCAATTGTAATCCACCTGTCACAAAAAAGGGAAGGGCAGCTTGCCCTTATCAACAGATTTTGCAAGTTTTTTTCAGTAACCCATTTTTGTAGCATGGCCTGCTTCCCCTGGTAGGGTGGAAGAAGAATTCTCTCCAGAAAATTCTTACCTTGGAGCCATGCCTGGTGGTCTAGGGCTAAAGCTCAGCCCATACCTAGGTCAGAGTTAGGGGTAGGAGAGACACAAAGCACTCAGCTCCAGGTGAGGACAGCCAGGTGCCATGGAGCTGCAAAGGGGAGGACACATGAAGGGGGAGACTACACAAAGAGATCACCCCTGAACACTCATTCCTCTGGGACATGGCAGGGCCTCTCAGGATAAGGCTCAGCCAACACCTAGGCTTGCAGTTAGGGTCAGGCGAGGGACAATGCCTACAGCTGTAGCTTACAAGGGTGAAAAGGAACTGCCTAAGGTAGAGGGGGGCTCCACAAGTGTTATCCCCTAACAACCTTCTCCTCTGGGCTGTGGTTTATGGTCTCAGGATAGGCCTCAGCCGGTGCCTGCTGCTAGGGTTAGGATTATGGTTAGAGGAGAGACAACACCTAGGCAGAGCTCCAGGTAGAGTG